TCCGAGTTACAGCCGGAAGCATCTTCTGAGCCTCAACTGGTTAAACCCAAACTCCAACCACTGAATCCTAAACAACTACATCCGAGAAGTGGCCACCGCCATGGTTCCTTTGCGTTCCACATGGAGGAATCTTTGTTGTCCGAGCGGGAGGAGGCTATCTGGATCTTCTCCATTGGGCATGCTTGGTGAACGCGATGTGCTGGTTTAGGGTTTAGATTTAAGGGTTCACTGTTCATGCGCCAAGTTTTGACGTGTTCACAGCAGTGTGACAGGCGGGTCGGGACCGAAGCTCATGTTACGCGGCTATATGGCTGTGCTGCCACGTACGTTCCCGTGGACGCTGGGATGGCTGTGGGTTCCCAAACCGCAGAAACCCACGACTTCGTGATGTCGTAGTGTGCTATTCTGGAATGGCTTGCGTGCAACATTTCAGCTTAGGCGACTGACTGCCTTCTTTTGCCTGTTCACTGTTGCGTTTTGGTGGCGGCCTCAAGCAGAGTACATTCTTTTGTTCGACCAGCACATGTGGAACATGAGGATTGGCGTCACGAGGAACTTGTACTGCAATCCTGATGCGCTGCGGGATGTCGAGCCCCCATTCAACGGGCAGTTGCTGCCGGCAAACTTCACACTGGTTGAGCGGAAGTATCTGCTCATCCAATTTACGAAGTTGGTCGACGTGTATGACGATACCCAAAAACACGTCGGATATTTCTACGAAGCTTGGCTTCTGAGAGAACCACGAAATCGCACACAAAGTGTCCACGTCACGAGGACATCAACCTGTTCATCATCATGCGCTTCGGGTTCTCCGATGCAAACGGCAGGATTTGGTTCGAGGCATCGAGCTGCTCGAAATTGCAAGCACCGTGCTGTACACTCAGCGCTTCTGTATGATTTTGTACAGGCACGGTATGCATCCTTCCTTTCTCGATTCAAGCCCATCATCGAGTATAACGTTCAGCGCTGTGCAGGGGCCTTTGTTGTTTCTCTTTGAAAATTCTTACGTTGTCCTACCTACAGTGGCTGGCGTGCAGTCGGTCGGGGCATTCGGTATGGTGCGTCTGCTGTCAGGATGCAGGTGGAGTTGGCAGACCGTCCACACTTTTCGAGCTGAAAGAAGTATGGTGGCCGAAAGCTTAAATCGGATTGTGTGGGTACATTGAGACATGTTTCTCTGCTTTGACGCCAGTCCTGAGGATAGAATCCTACTGGCGATGTTTCGTGAACTGCAGCAGGCGCCCTGCGTGACAGCGTGATTTGAAGGCTGACACGTGGTTGGTGGTTGAGGGTTTGTCGACAGGCTTGCGAGGTAGAGGGTCAGATTCATTGTTTTTGCGATGAGCGAAACACGCACTCAGAGTCAGAATGTTCTTTGGCAGGCTGAGCTTACACTTCGCAACTTCGTGTCCTCGCTGACTTGCTTTGGACTCTCCAGGCTGTTCAATCTCGCGGAGCGGGCGGCTCCCGGACAAGTTCGCGAAACGCTGATACCAGAGGCTCATTGATGGCATGGCAAGCTTCCAACGGATGTCTCTGCCTTGCGGCAGCTCGGGGTCCTCGGGGCTAGGGCCGCTAGGGCTTAGGGCTCCTTTGACTCGCAGGCCAGCTTTGGGCTGGATCCCAAATTCCAGGTCTCCTTCGATGCTTCGACCTCGGCAAAGGGGCAGAGAGAGAGAGAGA